TAGGGCTTAGGGTTTAGGGTGTTGCATCCAGAGGGCGACGACCACAGGCACCGGTGGCAGTATCCTGACCTCCACCACGAAGGCCTGGGCTTCGGATGATGTCGGAGCCTTAATACTTGGAAGAGGGTTATTTGGGGTCTATGATACTATAGCTATAACAAGGAACCCCCCCCAAAAAAAGGCCTATTCTACCTACTAGGGCCCTTATATTACCTGGCTTTGTTATGAGGCTTTGCAGGGTCTTCGGAGCAAAGAGTGCCCACGCCCCAAACCCTAAACCCTGGAGCCAAGACCCTGAAGCAAAAAAACCTTGCAGAAGCAAGGTCTTCCGCTTCTTCGGAAGCCAAAGGAGGCTGCCAGTGCGAGTTGGGACAGCTCGGGCTCCGAAATCCCTCATCTGGTGGCGATACTCGCTTGAGGGGGGCTTTTTGTTGGGTTCTACTGTTCAGGATGCCACTGCTTTGGGTCTTTATTGGGCTCCCTTGCTTTCCGAAACTCCCAACTTTCCATGCCTCCCAAATCCTCGCTGTAAATCAACAGACAAACAGCACGTACGCCCTTCCCACCGGAATTTGGCGCAGCCATACTCCCAAGAAGAGCAACACGAACATAATCCAGCCGACAAGAGTGGCAAGTCGAATGGTTTAGGCACCAGACCCTACCCTCGACACGACCCAAGGAATATTCTGGAAGGGGGCACTGAACAACGACGCAAAGTTCATTCTGGATGCCCATCGGATGCACAGCATGAAGCTACACGGCATCAACTAAACCCTGAACCCCAAACCCCCAAAAAAGGCATTGGGGACACTGCGGAGACTTAGATGCCTGTCAACCATGGACCAAAATCTGCCCACCCAAACCCCTGACTGCTGAAAGTTGGGGTTCCTGTTTAGGGTTTAGGGGTGTGAGAGGAGGTGAGGGGTTTAGGGGCGTTGGGTTTCTAGGCTTAGGCCGCCCAAACCTCCCAAGAAAACAGAAGCACCATCGAGGTCCAGATAGTTGGTGATTGCTTTTCCCTGTACCTATACCCCAATGGAAGTATTCCCAACAAATATTCTAGTCAGTGAGATCCGCCCCGGAAAGCGAAGAGCGGAAATCATGCCGCACACAAGGCCCCACCCTTTCGGGTTTAGGCTCGGGCTACGGAGCTTCGGAGCTTCGGGTGTAGTCACTTTTGATGGGGTTTAAGGTTCATGGGTTAGGGTTTAGGGTTTAGGGTTTAGGGTTTAGGGGTTTACGGGTGTAGGGTTTAGGATTCAGAATTTGCGGATTAAGGCGAGTTTGGGGCTCAGGGCTTAAGGTTTAGCTTCTCTGAACTGCAGCTAGTTGCTGAACCTTGGTCGAATGAGACCAGCATCCTCAGCTCTTGCGGAGCATCAAGGGCTTCCGTAAGGTTCAACCACGGTTCTACAACAATTCTTGCAAGGGGTTCTGGGCATGTGTGTGCTTGAGGGCTTTCGGGTTTTGGAGATTTAAGCAAGGCTGGCGATTTCGGGCTCTGGCTTTCAGGCATAACAAATGGGTGGGGAAAGAGGTCGAGGAGTACTGCGCTACTAGCTACGCCTCTGCGCACATCGTCCTCACGAAGAGCCTCGGAAGCTGTGCGAGGCTTCCGGAACAGGACAGGGGCCTCAATGATCAGAACAGGCTGTCGTGGCACATAATAATACAAGACTATCGACACTACAAGGCCAATTATTCAGGTCCCGGCGATAGCTCCGAGTTCCACGAGTTCGAGCTAGGAAACAAAGTTCTGAATCATTCGCATCGTGCCCTTTACATCTAAACCCCGTACTGTTTGCTAAGGCCTCTACTGTAAGAAGCAAGGTTGCAGGGGGCCTTCTGGCACAGCTAAAGTTGCTACAGTCTTGAAGCTCAACTCGGCCTGCCTCAAGGAATCCAACGATCACAACCCTCAAGATAGAGAAGAGTTAGGGCTGAGGGTCTCGGGATAAATACTGCCCAGCTGCTGCAGTAGCTCGCCAATTCGATAGTTCGCATCGACCTGGGCAAGCTGTGCATTGGAGAAATGTCTCTGGGCTTTGGAGCTCCAACTTTTGCTGGCAGGCAACGGTCCTAGACTCTTAGACCCTATAGGCCCCTAAACCCCAAAGCTTCTGAAACTTTCTCGTCCCGTACCCCAACTCACACTTGGAACTTCCTACCACCTTCGTCTCCTCGGCAAGACACCCGCAGAGGCTTCTACCGATTTCGATCCTCCCCTGCCGCCGCAGGCCCCCAACGAAGTCCCGAAGCCCAAAGGAGCCGCCATATTTGCTGTGTTGGATGCGAGATCGAGCTTGGAGTTGAGCACAGAGACGACCTGTTTTGTATGGAAGGCTCTGAAATCAGCTCTTTGCCTAGGCGGGACTTCAACTTTGGGGAGCTCAGATTCTCGGCATGGAAGATGCAAGCAGCTCACTCAAGGAGCCTAGCCCCTCCGTCGGCGTCGGGCCGGCCCCGAACCGAAGTCTGCAAACGGAACCGCCTGCAAATAAAAGCTTGGGTGGCCGATGCCTGCTCGTGAGGCTTGCTGTCCAAGTAGGCGGATAAGTTGTTCGCGAACTCCGCTGCTTCCTCTCCGCGGGACTCCAACAACTCGCACTCCAAGACCCCGTTGAGGGCATAGGGTTCGGGTGTGCTGGTTACTGACTTAGGCTTTGGGCCTAGGCGGGTCGTGAAACAGGCAAAGAGTCACAGAAACTCCGACTTGATAGAGGCCCACGAACCCAAATGCAGACGGGGTCAAGTTCGCAACAAGACGTTGACACATGTAGAGATAAACGCGATCTTACAGAACCGCTGTCGACAAGCGTCAACCCTGCAACGACACGAAGTTCAACCAGTGCGTGAATACAACTGTCAGGACTTGGCACGCACGTCTTCTTACCGCCAGCTGGCAGCAGGCGAAGGACAGCTCGAATTCGAGTTTGCAAGTTGGAGCTGCGCAGCTGCAATCTGAAGAATGCAAAGAAGGCATGGTTTCCGTGGTGCAAACTTTGCGTTTAGAGGCCGTTTCACCTCCCGAAGAAGCCTGTCTGCTCCCGTACACCTTGGGAGCCACAGTGTGTTTAAAAGCTTGCCGGCCTAGGTAGTGGAGAGTGTCGTATACTTGTTTATAGGTTTTCCGAGATGAGACTTCGGATACGTAGGGCTCAGGGCGTTTACTACAAATATCGTTTATGCCATCGAGCACATCACATACTGCATGTTTCCTTTCCGCTACTTATTTATGTGTGCGTAGAATCGTCCTATCGTCCTATCTATCTATATATCTCTATCTATCTATCTATCTGCTATACCTACCTATGTGTGGTTGTGTCTTGGGACACGTTTCGGGCACGCCCACAAGGCTTTCTGCAGCTACAGCTCGTTTGCGAGAATCGCGTCCATGGACATTTCCCACGAGCATTCCGCTGCCAACTACAATCGGCGGGCAACGCCCCGCACATGTGCGCTTATCACATTGGGGCAAAAACTCGACACACCCAACTGCTGTCCCACAACTACAGGAACCCTTCTGCAGAGCATTCGGGAAAAAATCACGAACGAATTCATGTATTCCTTGGAACATCTTGGGGAGACTCCAACCTTCAACCTCCTGCATTCTAAGCCTGGTACGACACCAAGCCCAGAAAACCTAAATCCTAAACCTAACCCCAAAGCCCTACCGCCCTCAGCCCCACAAAAGCCGAAAGCCCGAAGCCGATCAGCCTCTGAGGTGTAGAAGGGGCGATAGGCGTTGAAGAACGGCCGTACCACCTCCTCCTGGCATAACAAGATTGACTGCGCGGCTTTTGGGGGAAATGATGGTAAACGTCAAAGCCCCGAGGGCGCTTGCACGGTTAAGGCTCTCAGGGAGATATGGCTTTTGGGCTTCCCGGCCGGGTGTTGAAGGCGCTCAGGCCTTTTAGGATCTCTTGCTGGCACTTAGGGTCCATGGGTCCTGGTGCTTTGGGGATTTGGGGCTACAGAGTTTGGGCCTTCAGGTTTGGCCTTTTCGTGGCTTACGCGTCATCTCGAACACTGGATACCACCTCTGCAAATCCGTACAAGTGACAAGACCCCCTCATAGGACTTGTGGGTAGCTTTCTAAAATTAGGGTCCCCTTTGGGGTCCTCTTTATAAGGGTGCCGTAGTATTTTGGGGGGCCTAAAGAAGGGACCCTAATATAGAGAACTACCCTTACCGCCCCGAAGAAAGCCTCTTCGACCCCCGGTCTGGACTTCATGAGCACCCCGACTGTTTAAGAGCTCACTCTCGGGAGGGCCAGGGCATCAGAGCTCTCAGTCCACTGAAAAAAAGTACTACTACTTATCATGATGGTACTAGGAATACTGATATTAAGAAGACTAAAAAACATCACAATAATAATAATCACAATAATCACAAAATAAGAACCAAAAAAATGAATCATCATCATTCATAGTAATAGTAATGATACGGGGCTCCCCGAACACCCCGAAACTTCGACTTGCCAAGATTGCCCGATCTTCCTGTGTCGCATTGCTAATCCCGAGGGTCAGGTTGATCTCCTCAGGCACTCACAGGTCTTATTTGAGGCCCCAAGACCCCACAGTCAAATTTGACGTTCGGGCGTAGATTATCGGAAAGAATCAAAAGGACTGCAGAAGACCCTTGAGGGGAGCAGGGAAATTTCAGACAAAGGGAGCCGTTTTAAACCGCCTCGAGTAGGCAAGTTAAGAACCTCGTACGCTTCGTTTAGCCTTTCTTCGGTTTTTCCTGTCGAGGGCGAAGTGTCTAACGGCCCCCTTGTTGCTTTGGCGCAAGGCCGAACAGGACTTTTATCTCGAACATCCCCCGGATCAATGATGCATAGCCCCTCAAACCGGGGGTTAACCCCCTTTTGCTCTCGGCAGGCTAGGAAGGGACAGGGCGCCACATCGGTCTCCGATACGTCCAGCAACTCTGCGAGCGCGTGCGTGAGGCCTACCAGCGAAGCACAATGTTTAACTCGAGGTGCACTGAGGTGTGAGGATTGAAATTTCGGGTTGAGGCTGTTAGGGTTCTAGGCTTTTGGGCTTCAGGGAGTTTTACGTGGGTTTAGGTTGTCGGATTCGAAGCTAAGGTTCAACAACTCCTTTAAACAGGCTCGAGGATCAAGCCTTTTGCTGGATCGGTTCTTCTCGCCTGGTACAGCGGTGGTACAAAGAAGAAGGCCGACCAACTTTGGGGCTTTTGCGGTTTGGGATGGAGGGTTCAGCCCGCATGGAGTTTAGGGTTTTGGCGGCTACCAGGGTTGAGGGTTGCAGGGTTTTGCAATTTTTATGCTTGAGGGTTTGGGGTTGCTTGTAGGGTTGGGAAAGATTAGGGTTTAGGGTTTAGGGTTTAAGCGCAGACATTGAGGCAAAAAGAACGCCTGAGAGCCACACAATGCCAAGCCATCCGGGCCTCTATAGAGATTCTTTAAGTTTAAGATTGAAACTTTGGGGTGTTCGCAGCAGGGCCCGACCGTAGCGCGCAACAAGCCCTTCCAAGCCCCATGCACGCTCTCGCTCGGGAGAGGCCTTCAACCGACAACGTGTCGTTCAAGAAGCCTTCGTTCCTGCGAGGCTTTGGCAGCTATCGAGACTGCTCCATTGGCATTCACCGATCCCCGAACCTTCCCCGCGAGAAAACCGAAACCACACTGGGCCGCAGACAGCTCCGAGCGTCCCAATTGCAAGCGGCGGCCAGCGAGAATCCTCAGACAGCAGCTGAGCATGCCTGGAAAAGCTTGATGTTCCGCTACAAATCACAAGGCTTTAATCCGCACATAGGGGCCTTGATGATTCGACTGATGAACTTTGGCTGTACAAAACCCTGAAAGCTTTAAGGAATAGCATTGGGGAATTTAAGGCCCCTAAGCCCTGCGCCCTCGAGAAGAAAGGTGCGGAGCTTTTCTCAAGGCTCTGACACTTCTGACCACTCGTCAGGCAGGCAGCGGTGTGACGTCCAGGTAGCCACTGAACAGCACCGTGCCATTCCAGTAGGTGGTGGATGTAGTGGTGACGGAGGAGACCTTGTTGGGGCTTGGGGAGTGTCGGTCTTCAACAAGAAAGCTTCGGAAAGCAGAGAAAATCTCACACCCAGCTTGAGCATGCCGCCGTGGTGGTGGCAGTCTGTGTGGTCGACGTTGCCGTGCTGGTGATCTGCAGCCAGGCGTGCATTGCGGGTCGGGTCTTGCGGAAGGACCCTGCAAGTCGCCCGAGGGACCCAACCAACCCTTGCCTTCCAATCCCACAATCAGCACACCGTCGGTCCCAGAGGGGTGCTGTCGGACAAGTTCCCTACAAGTACCCGCATGTTCGGAGGATGTTGTAGCTGGAATTTGGGGGGGGCGGGGGTACAGAGCATGGTATCCGTAAGCCACTGGCCTCCAAGCACTCCGGGTAAGTGCCGTTCAGCCTGAGCTGGCGGACGGTTTGGGGCTCAGGGTTGCATACCATGGAGCTTGGAGGTTCTGTTAGTGTGCTGCGGGCGCAAGGCTTGGGATTCCACTTTGAGATTCTGTGAGGAAGGCCCCACATGGACTGTTATCACCACTACTGTGAAATGGTCTTCAAACTTCGAACTTGCAAGCTTTGGAAAGGATTACAAGCTGTGGCTCGAGGCCGCAAAGTACCTAGATGCGTGCTCCTATGTCCAACACGAGAGATTAGGGCCTTCCGGCTTGTCACTTGTATGTTGTCGGCCAATAAGAGGCTGCTCTGTCGGATACACCCGGCACAATCTGAGCACAGCCTAGAAAGACAAGGCCCGACGTTCAGACATGTACGTGGGGCAAGTGCCTTCCCGGAAGTACACAACGCAAGTATCTAACTGGTCGGTCCCATGTCTTTCGAACACGTGTGGGTTGTTTCAAAAGGGACCATTGAAAATGGTGAGGTCTTGGGCCACGTGGATGCCCCAAAGCATCCAAGCCATGAACCCCCTCGCAGTCAGGGGACACTCCATCTGGCATGCAGGTCCATGTGCCTGGGTTGAACAAACACTACTACCCTTTGCAAAACCATTCGTGGACGACGGCTTTTCAGCATAAGGCAGAGTGTTGCTTGTTTCCAGAAGCTTTCTGCCAGATCCTACTGGCAGGCGCAGTGAGCATTCCAAGACTTAGCCTAAGCGAAGCTACATTCTGCTCGGTTCCGGCCAGATCGTCTGAATAGCCCTATTTCAGAGGAACTGCCGCGCACCTGCATATTTCAGCATGATGCTGCACAGCAGAAGCCACTAAAGCCCAGAGTTTCGACCCTGTTATAAGCTCACCTATGCGAGCGTGATCGAGCTAAGCCTCGACCACCTGGCTTTATGAGGCTTTCGAATATGTAATCACTGCTGTGGACTCAGGGCCATGGCTTCTCAACTTCCGTCCTGGAATCTAGGCGCAAACCCCCGAAACCAGCAATCCTACACCAGTCCTAAACCGCCAAAACCCCCCGGCACGCGTTGCTCTCGACTTTCTCCGCGGACAAGGTGCTGGAGCCTCCCTGCCACCCTGCAGCGCAGGTGACGGCACAGGTGCCATCCGTCCTAGGCCCAGAAGCATCTTTCCAGCATCCTGCCCTGCTTGTAGAAGAAAGAGCAGCAGCAGAGCAATAGTAGTCGTCGTCGCAGCAGTCGCAGCTGCCTTCGTAGAACAACAAGCAGCAGCAGCAGCAGCAGCAGCAGCAGCAGCAGCAGTAGCAGCAGTAGCAGCAGCAAACGGTAGTGAAGGTAGTAAAGGCAGCAATGGCAGTAGTAGCCCAAGTAGTAGCAGAAGCAGGACGAGGAAGAGGAAGAGAAGAGCGACGCAGCAGCAGCGGTGACAATGGAATAGCAGTAGCGCGAGTGACAGAATCAGTTCGCAGGTAGATTTGGCTGATGTAGCAACAGAGGTAGTGCTAGCCTGCCCCGTCGTAGTAGCCGCAGGAGCCACCTGCACTTCCACGCAGTACATGCGGCAATCCGGATTGGCAGGAAAATCTGCCGCTTTTGCTGCTGCGGGTGCAGCTGAAGAAAGAAGCAGTGCAGCGCTTGCAATGCTTCTACCGCACCCGAGAATGTCGTCGTAAAAGCAAGCCGACATCTGTCACAGGGAGACAGCTGTACGACTGTACGACTCTCGCGTCGCGGCACCTGACCATAAACAACACAAGACTCCACCGCACAATGGACGGTCACGCGCCGTCGAGTGTGCAGGAGCCGGAACAGAAGAAGATGATATGTAAGGACAACAGTCCTCATCCCAAGACAACAGCACGGGATGCAAAGAAAGGCTGGAGACCAGCCTTGAGGCTTGATGAGGATCGGGTATTAGGCTATGTTCAGTCAAGCCACACCACACCAGCGCAGTCGTCAGCGTACTCCGCACCGAAGGGCAGGTTGTACAGGCAGGGCAAAGCAGAGCAGACCTTCTTTTTTGGATCATGGTCCTACGTGCCGTTGGCATTATTCTGCACAGATGGGGCTGCATCCGCATCACTACGAAGGACTTTGGCTGCTCTGCTTAACATTCTGAGCAAGAGTCTAGGATTACCACCATCACTACCATTATCATGAAGCCTAAGAGCCTGTTGGAGCTACACGATTGCTGCGATTGTCAGAACAGTAAAGCTTCAATGATAGCAGCGATGATGATCATCATCATCATCATCATCATGAGACCACGACAGTTCTGATGACAGATTCCTGGCTGATGTTGATTGCTAATCTGGTGGGTTTGTGATTGCTATGGCTGGAACCCTTTGGGAAAACACGAGGGCTAGAAATCCTGTGACGGTCAACCATGGCCACTGCTCCCTTGAAGCCTTTTGTCACTGCCGCGAGTCCTACCTGCCTGCCTAACAATATTTCTTTCTCTCTCTCTCGCTCTCTCTCTCTCTCTCTCTCTTTATCTTTCGCTCTTTCTCTCTCTCTCTCTCTCTATCTTTCTTTCTCTCTATCTATCTATCTATCTATCTATCTATCTATCTCTGTCTATCTGCCTCCCTCTCTCTCTCTGTATCTGTCTCTGTCGCTCTCTCTCTCTCTCTCTCTCGCTCTCTCTCTCTCTCTCTCTGTCTCTCTCTCTCGCTCTCCCTCTGTGTCTCTCTCTTTTTCTCTCTCTGTGTCCTTGCAGTTGTGTAGCAAGAGATCCGAAGTCCTAAGTCCGGAAGCCCTTTCAGAAAGCTTCGGCCCCTTTGAATTCCCCGAGCCTTCGGCGAGGTTTTGGCGTGTGGTTCTTTTGCTTCCTTCTGGTGGACTAGAAGGACATATTTTCCCAATTATTCTATGTCGTTGCTCAGACCTCTGTATTGGGGCTTCGGGGTCTGGGGGCCCAAGCACTTGAACTAATCCTCCTTCAATCCAAGCCCCTAGGGTGCTGAGTGAGTGACTAGAAGTTTGGGAGCGCAACGAAACCTGAATTCAATGTGCAGCCAAGCCTGAAACGCTCATGGCCCCCGGACAGAACAAGCACATGACTGAAGGTTGCTGGTAAAATGCCCCTTTATATAACTGCTCATGACCCCGACAAAGATACGTGCAACCTCACCACTGGGTCCCTTCCCTCCTAGAGATGTAGACAGGTTGCAGGCACAGTGCCGCGCAGGGTGTAACCATCCTGGGCAACATTCCTACAATCCGCTGCTCCCTCGCAAGTTAGAGTTCAAGGACTCCACCCTATAAACCCTAAACCCCCTAAACTCCCTAAACTCCCTAAACTCCCTAAACTCCCTAAACCCTGAACCCTAAACTCCCCAAACCCTAAACTCTAAAGGCCCTAAACCCTATGAATACCGCCTGGAAGGCTCGGGCTCCCTTTCCTTTTTCACTCGAAGCGATGAAAACACCGCAAAAGGGAGGGGAATATGCGAAAAATGTGTCTCCGCCAAGGCGCCACCATCGGAACATCGCTGACCGCAGGGAGGCCACTCGCTGCGTCCGTGCAGGTCCACTCCGGAACCTGAATCCGTGGTTCTCGAAGCTAAGCGTTCGCAACTCGATTCGTTAGAAAGGGACCCGGAAAATCGATCCTGACTTGTCAAGGTCCATGAGATCCTTTTTCGAACTCTCGCTCCTTCCTGCCACTGCAGTAAGCAAGCTGCTAGCAGTTGTGATTCCAAGTAAGGTACTTATAACCTTACTTACTGAGCGATTATCCTCCAGTAGCTAGAGTGGTAGCACACGCGGAATGAATGCCGATTCCCAAGCTCATGGACGGCTACCTGAGCAAACGCAGAGATTACGGATCAGTACGGATCCGAACCCACGGGAACGAAGGGTTGAAGAAGTCGTGAAGAGATGTCGGTGAATGACGGGTGTAAGAGCGGTTGTCCGAAAAACATGCTCGGGTTTGCTGCAGATTTCCGTGATACTCAGTTGTCGGTCAAACCCGGGTCTTTCATTGTTCCCTCCAAAACCAGGGCCTCCTGGCTGAATCGGACACCGGCGACCGGTAAAGATATAAAGGAGCCTGAAACCCTAAAACCCTAGATTAAAGGAAACTGCAGGTGGGGAGTTTGGGGTATATCGGGCTTCTAAAAGGCTTCTATAAGGTACATAGACCTTCTATCGGGCTTCTATAACGGAAACTACCCACCTGACAAATGTCCTAGACCAGAGGCTTTCGGAAGGGCAGGGGGGGCTAAGGACAACACTCGGCTCTTCAGAGATCGTAAACAGGTCGGGAGCCTCCGGCGTGTTGAGCTGGAAGCCCTCCCGGCAGTAGGCAAAGCAGGACCGATTCACGAAGACCTGAGCTACATTAGTACATACTAGTATATATTAGTATACATTAGTATATATGAGTATATATTAGTACATATTAGTATATATTAGTATATATCCGTATATATTTGTGTATACTAGTATATATATTTGGATTTGATCGGGTCTTATTGGCCTCTTCCGGACGGGGGATGCTGAGCTTCCCTCCTGGGCAATGCACCATTGTCATGTCTCTGGCGTCTTCTAGGGACTGATGATGCTTCGCGCCATGTAGGGGTCGGAATAACTTTGAGTCTCAGGGCCTTTAAAAAGTTGTACCGTGCCGAAAAGGCCCCAAATCCCATTCCCTCTCTGGCATGCGGGAGGCCAGGCTCATCCGAGAACTGATGCTACAACGATTGAAGGTTCTTGAAGGGTCGTGGGGTTTAAGATTTGGGAGTTAGGGTCTTGGGGTCTAGGGTCTTGGGGTCTAGGCTTTTGGGGTGGTGTGGTCACCAAGCCAAGAGGCGTCGCTGCAAGTGTGCACCACATTGGGAATCGAGATGCTGCTGTTGCACTGAACGGGCTCGCCTGTGGCGCGCTTCAGAACAATCTCTCGGACACACGTGAGCCGAAGTCTGGAGAGCTTGTGCCTAGGTCTCAGGGCCTGGGGGCCTAAAACCCTAAACCCCAAGTTGGTGCTCCACTCGGGATTAATACACAGCAACCCCTTCCATCGATCTTAAAGTCTTATACTTGGCCTCGCTTGCAGTCTACATCATGGTCAGTAAACCCCGATAGACCAAATGGCCAGACATCTCCTTGATCCCACACAAGAAATCCAATCTTCACACCTGAAGTACGGGTCTTGTATTTAGGGTCTCAGATTTAGAACTTGACTGTCGATGCTCAGTGTTACACTCAGAAACCCGGCCGTTGCGGGAGTCTGTGTGTGGGGGAGGATGTAGGATTTATGGCTTTGGGTGCTTATGGTGCTTGAAAGGCTGAGCCTCAAGGGTTTAAGGGTTTAGTCCTGCATCAACTGCAGCTCAGATCACAGGAGACCGTGGCCCCGTCACCGCTGACTTGGCCTTCGAAGAGGAGCCACTGAGCACTAGGCCCCAAATTTCCTTAACTAGCCCCTATGCGTAAACTCTAAACCATGAACTAGACGCGAAACCCAAAACCAGCGAACCCTACACCATTAAGCGAAATATTGTTGCTGGATCCTCTCTCTTGTTGAGCAGGTGTCTGGCTTCAGCGATTTCTGGCGGGGACGTGGAGGTAGTACTTACGCTGGACCCTGTTCAAAAGGGTTTTATAGTTGTACATAGGAGATCCACTTCAGTGGTTCATCTCTACAAGCTCAGGCACGTCATGCTGGAACACAACTTGCGCTTCCGATTTGGGTTTTCCGGTTTAACGTTTCGGGTTTGGGGCTTTGGGTTTGCAGCTTCGGGTTCCTATGAGGTCTTGCGGCCGTTGAAGCCGGGCGCCTTTCACTGCCCAAATAGCGTGGAAAAGAGGGGATGAGGGAACCGTAAACCCTGAACAAACCGACGCCTACGGCCTCTACGACAGAGGCAAACTGGGCCTGAAAGGTCGCAGTTGAAGCTGCTGCTCGTCGCGTTCGCCTTAGCGCAACTTCGGGTTGGGGAGGCCCTTGGGATTTTGGGGGCTGCCGTTCTAGGACCGACATAATATGACCCTTTATCCCCTTTGTTTTGTGCCTGGACCACAGACTCCCAACCGGAAGAGCCGGCGATGTAGCAGGTCAAAAGCACGCACCCTGCACAAACCCAGAGAGCAAACTTGCCCACATCTGTATGGCCTAACCCTCCAATATGCAAGATCCCCCAACAGGAATGACTTGCTTCTCGCAACGAGGTCACCGGCAAGAAGCCAGAGCGGCAGCGGCGTTCGCAGGACCTTACGGGCAAGAAGGAGGGGGCTTCAAGTCTCAAACGTGACACTCTCACGGCTGGGACCCAGGACATAAGGCCTGCGAGAACCCCGGAGAAAGCTAAACACGCCCGAGAAACCCGGCTCTTGACCCTGAAGCCTCAAACCTAAACCCTAAGCCCCAAACCCCAAACACTCAAAGCTCTCGGGCCTTCCCCCGTTTTGAGCAGCACCCCTTATCAGCCCCAAAGCCGACCTTTCAAAGATGGGGGCCATCATAACTATGATAAAGTGTCTTTCAGTGGTACTGTCAGAGATTCTGTAAGGACTCTATACGTAATCCGGATGTACGGGTGCTTCGGGGGTGTCGTGCGACGGCACAGACATGGTGTGCTGTGCGCAAAGTGCATGTGCCAAACACCGGCGTTTTGTCAACCAGTTACTCAAAATGTTGCGGTCAAACATGTTGATGCAATGTCAACAGGAAGTTTGTTCAAATCGAAGAGCAGACAGCCCGTTTCATTTTCTGAAGACTAAGCGGTTCCCGTTTGAACACCTGTTCCCCCCATCGTGGAAGACAAAGTCAAACTTACCATCAACACTCTTGATCAAAAAATTACACTCAAAACTCGGGGTCCGAACTTTAAACAAGCCAGAAACGGCGAAACTGTAACTAAACCCCGGGGCAGTGGACGCACAACTCAGAAAAAAAGCTCGTCTTTTTCAATCCCAGGAGCTGTCCTGCGAGGAGCCCCGTGCAGTTGTCCGCGAGGACGTCGCTGGGGTTCAGGCTCGGACAAACAATCGGCTGGCCTGAGCGGATGCAGGACGCAAGAAACCCGAAACCAACCCGAAACCAATGATTTCCAGGAGAATCTGCCCGTAAGAAGCCTGCAGCACTCTCCTGTGCGACACACGGAGAGGATTTCAGTCTGAAGTTTGGGAGTTTAGATTCGGGCAAGCCTTGGTCCGCGCCGGCAAGATTCGCCTGGCACTCTTGAAGGTCTTGCTCCCAAGACTACTCGATAAACACCCCATGCAAAGCGAACACCCTAAACCCAAAATGCTTGATTCCTGAAGCCTTTTGGACTATGAAGAAGGATTTCAGGGGCCCCGGCAGCTTGGCAAGGTTCCAACGAGCCCAAGAACACCAGATTCGAGATCGCAGGACCAAACCTGGAGATGGCTAAGCTGGGGAGGAGATAGGCAGTGCTTCGTCGCCTGGCTTTATGGATCTGGCTCCAGAAACCTGCGTGCCAGAGCTGCATTTCTGTTCTCCTACGCTTGAAAAGGCTGTGTTGAACTCACCAACATTCACCAACACTCGGGAGGCCCAGGGAAGAGCGAGCAGAAGGAAGAACTCTGCTGGACTCCCTGGCCTCTCCCGCCGCTCCGCTGGTCAATTCGTACCTCGGAATAATTCCGAGAGGCTCTTGCCTTGCCGGCCACCCTGAGGCTTGTCTGTGCCTTTCAGCGCAAGTCTGTTAAGCACATCCCAGCTCCGCAGCGTTAGACACCCTCTTCCTGATCAGCCTAACTAGCCTAGCCTTCTGAGTCTGCATGTTACACCCCGAAGCCCTAAAACCCTAAAGCCCTACACAAAATCCTCCTCCGCCAAAAACCGAGTTGCCCCGGTGCGCAGAAGACGCTGCAGCTGCGGCCGAAGGCAACGTCGTTACAATCGTGGGCGACGGAAGGCTCCTGGCCGTCGTCCCCAGTTGGGTTTGTGAACAGTAAGGGGTCCCCATCTGAGGTCTCCTATGATTTAAGGATCAAATTTAGTGTCCTTTGCTCGTTTTCCCGGAATGTGAAGAAGGTGTGAAGAAGTGTTCCACTCTCCGAGGCTCGACATGTCTGCGCCAAAAAGCGCAGGACTTGTAGGTTTAGGACGCAAAGAACCTCAAGCTGAAATTCCAAACAACAAGGAAGCTTCAAAGCCCTAAATGGCACTCTTATCACAAGGACCACCTACATAAGCTAACCCCGAACAGACAGGAATGGAAGCCTTTCTGTCCATGAAGCCCCGGGAGGGCTTCTGAGGAGCCCCTCCACCACCCCTCGGAAGCTTCCGATAAGACTTTGGATGCGGAAAGAAGCCTAGATGCGGAAAACCCCTGAACCCCCCCCCCCCCCCGAACTGTAAAAAAAAGGGGCCGGGCCTGCAGTTGGCCGCTCACAGGGCACTTTGCCGGCTTGCACAGCCTGTTCGGACCCGATCATCACCCTGAAAGGAACTCTTAATAGACCCTCAACCCCAAACCCTAAACCCTAAACCCCTAAACCCCAAAACCCTGAACCCTAAACCCTAAAACCCCAAAACCCTAAACCCCAAAACCCCTAAACTCTAAACCCTTTAAAAGGACCCTTGAAAGGAACCCTGAAGGGTTCCTCGGAGGGCTCCTGTTAGGATCCATGACGGTACCCTTCAAGGCTTCTAAGGGCTCTTTTTTTCGGGGGTTCCTTTAAGGCTTCTTGTAGCAACCAGATTTGTGGGTTTCAGGCTGGTTCTGAGGCTTATGAGTTTCACGTCAAGAAGATCTGGAAGCTTGAATCCAAAACCCTTTTGCTCTTGGGATGATTTCTTCTATTCCGTGCTGAAGGCCCCTCAACCCAAACCCTTGGCAAGGGGCACTAGGTCGGGACATGGGGCCCTAAACCCTAAACCCTAAACCCTAAACAATGCCATGTTGCGGCAGGATTCCGATTAGCTGGCCACTCTCGTCGCCTGCAGCTGCACAAAGTAGTCCAGGTAACTAGTGGCTTCTGCAGAATTCACCCAGAACCCTAAGCCCTAAACCTTTGTTAAACACTGAACTCTGAGACCGTAAACCCTACAGCCTAAGCACAAAAACCCAAAATGCTAAAACCCCTCCTGCAAATAAATCTGCGCACACCATCTCCGAGAAACCTGTTTTCTGAGACCTTCGAGGATGTATGAAACAAGGCAGTGACCACCATAAATCTAAACCCAGCGTGAGGCCGAGCTGCAAGTCATGAGTGCAAAGTTCGGCACGCTACCCGGCTTGCAGGTAACGTTGCCTGGGCTCCGACATGTCAGGTCTGGGATGGTCTTGTTTTTGGATTCAAGGTTCCAGGCTCAGCGCACGTAGGTTTCATGGGGTTAGGGTGTAGGGTTACGGGGCTCTTGCTTCAGGTTTACAGCTTCAGGCGTAGGGCTTCGGGGCTTTAGGGTTCCCGGGAGCAGTTCAGGGTCTACCTGCAGGTCCTGCTGCAAGACCAACATCTTCATACACCGCGGACTCAAGGGCTCTAATTCGATAGGGCCATAGGGACCAGAGGTCTGGGACTACTCCTGACCATTCCGATCCCTCCATTGCATGCACCCGCAGGGTCTCTGGATTTTGGTAGGGGCAAGTCTACCCTAAACCCTAAACCCTCAACGCCCTAACCCTAAAGCCTAAAGCCTAAACCCAGTTTCAGTCGGAGCTGTTGCAGAAAGGGGCTTCCTCGTCCGCCTTAGGGCCCTAAACCCAGAATCTCGAAACCCAAAAACCCTGTAAACAAACCCCTGAAACATTAAGCAGCAAAACAATAACCCTGAGGCACCAGCATCTAAGCATCTAAGAAAAAGCTACGTAGATCATGAGTTTCTTCAGCCTGAGTTCAGTGGCTGTTGCACAGCTGCGAGTTTAGTAGCCGAACCCTCCCCCCAAAAACCCCAACACGCATCAATGAAGCGATAGCCGTGAAAGAGGGATCCATGACATCACTCGCAATATACTGCTTAGTTGACTCGGCTCTTTGGGCATGACCCTGCCAAACCCCGTACAACCCTCTCAAGCCATGGACACCCGATTCGGTGTTCGAAAGCCCCAGGACCCCAAAGCCAACTTCGGCAGGTTTGCACGACAGGCCGGTCGTCAGCCCATCGCAGTCCTTTCGAAGCTCGACTGGCTTTCGAAGCATCTCAGAGGTTCAAAGAGCAACCCCAGACTTGAGGAGTGTTCAGAATTGTAGGATCCCTATGCTTCGATGACCCCCCCATCTTACTTCGGATCGGAGGAGCCAAACTAGCTCATACAGTTTTCGGACCTCATGAGCAGCTCTTTTAGAGTCAGATCTCCAGGCCTGGGACACGGCATGACCGCTGAATTGACAGTATGTTACAACAGACCACACACACACACACACCGGTACCCACGTAACCCCATGCACGATATCCTAAGCCATGTCCGAGTTTCTCCAGAGGCACGGATCGCAGGCCAAAACTAACCCCAACATCAAGGCTCAGGTTTAGGGTTGGGGATTTGCGTTTGGCCAAAGAGCTTACACTGCTTACATCCGCAGTTGAGGTTACTCATACTGGGGAGCCTGCTCTTAAAGGTCCTTACCTGGCTTCCCGGTCGGTGTTTGGGTTCTTTCTTAGGAAATCTTGGGTCCCTTATCTGCTGCTTGTTCTTAGGGTCACATATTCGGGTCCCGTTCTGTCTCTGAAACTCCCAAGTGCTCAAGCTCGGCTTCCACGTCACCTCGCCGGAGAATGCCTGGTCTGAAGGGATGGTGTTCTCACCTTCGCTGCAACGACACGGAAACAGTCCAGCGTCGAGGAGGATAGGTTGGAGGGTATTTACTAATTCACGGAAAGGATCTGGAGGCTTCGTAACCCTAAGCAATGCACCCCTAGTCTCAGAAAATCTCGCGGCAGGTTACTCCCGCCAGGTATTAGCTGGATTGCAAAGACAGCATTGAACATTTGTCCACAGCCAAGGGACAGGGGTTCCCAACGCAATCGGGGAGAACTCCAGTGATGTTTCCATCCGACTGGCACTCATACCTCAGCGCTGAGCTCTTCTGACTTCATGCCCTGTCCAAGTGGCACTTCAAGAACCTGCGATTTCAGTGCGCTAGCCCTCTCCGCACCCTCGACCCCCAGAAGCCTGACCAAAACCGCCAGCATGCTGTGACCCCCATCCCACCAAGGTCCAGCCCTTGGCGCAGCTCACTCCGCAGGTGTCCTAGCCGTGGATTTAGGGGCTCAGAGTTTAGGGTTTAGGGTTTAGGGTCCGTCGGTTCAGGCGCGTAGGGTTTGCAGGGTTCTTGAAAGAAGTTTCAGGGAGGGGGGATTTAGAGGTTTTTTCACGGTGCCACAAGGAGGGCTCCGATATGGATGGAGCAATACACTGTAGCTTCGAATGAAACTGGGATCCTTATCATGATTTCAAATGGTTGCCCTTAGGTGTTTTCTTTTGAAATAAGAGAGGGATCCTCGCTATGAGTTCGGGTCTTTTGCTAAATTGCAAAGTAGTTGGCGCTCGCGAAAAAGGATCCACATCATTTCGAGAGCCCAACTTGAGGCTACTGTATCCCTATCCCTTCTTTGTATGCGGATGACCTGGCCCATGTTGCTTCTAGTTTATGGGGGCCGGGGGAGACCAAGAGCAGGTGAATATGTAAGGGTCAAGAGTATAGACCCACGGGTAGTCCGAACATTTTCAACTAGCACCTGGGCCACCTATTTACTACCCGCATTACAAACAAAGCACTACTGGAGCAAGAAACCACGCAAAAGACTTCCCAGGCCAAATGTTTATCAGAGGATCCAAACAGCAGCAAGACCTAATGACACTGCACAATCAAGGAAAATCAAAATCAAAGTTCTGCACAGTCGTGTTTATCTTTAGGGTTCAGGCTTCAGGGGCTTAGTGTCGAGGGTGTTGCGTTTCAAGCTTTGGGCTCGGCTGCTCGTGTTGACGGAGGGAGCTGAGGTCCTGCAAACGGAAGAAGCCGAAACCCCAGGGAACACGCAGGTTGCTACTGATGCTGCTAACCACTTTAGATTGCAGTATATCAGACACGGATCCTCTCAGGGGTCTGCAACAAAAAAAACTCCCTAGACCCAAACCAAGGCTGTCCTGGAAGACCATGCTTTCGCAGTTGTGAGCGAACTTCGAGCCCTCGGCTGCAAGGAGTGGAAGGGCTGCTGAAGCACGCGAGATAGGGTTACCCCCCCCCCAAAAAAAAAAAGAGAAAATCCAAGAGCGTGCAAGGATCCAAGGTCAAGTCCGTGCAGGAGGTACGCTGGCAGGACGGCAGCGTTCCTGGCTGCGATTATCTGCTACTACACCATAATAAGTCCACTCGATGGTTTGTTCTAGGTTTTGTGTCTTGCACTGGAACAGAAAAGTGAAAATCCCCCCCCGTCTTTGCAGGCCCAGCCCTGGACACTGGGAGCATTTCACATGGGCTTCCTGGTGCCCCTGAGCTTTGGGCACTAAACCTTAGCAACCCTAAAGCGTCAACTCTGAGAAGGGACGAGAATCCACCCCCGGACGCAGAACTTTGCCAGAACTCCAGAACCCTTGAAGCCCCTGGGTTGAAGAAACCCCCTGGAACCCGCAAGCCTGCAAACTCTCCGGTGTTTGCGCACTGATACTGCGCGGCACCACCGGAGGCGTACTCAAAGCCCTGGGAGCAAGAAGCCAACTACAGGGTTCTTGCAGTCTTCTTGGAAGGGTCTGATAGGCTTTCTACAGGTTTGCTACGAGTGTAGAAATGGCTTTAAGTTTGGGGGGATCAAGGTTTAGGCTCTTGGGTCCAGAAGGGTTTGGGCGTTGAAAGCTTGGTGCGCTTCGGTGGAAAATCCTTCGAAACGCCCTTGCTCCGATGTGCCTGCGGAATCTTCCCAGCTTCACATCCCACGTCCTAAATCCCAAAGCTCTACACCCCAAACCACAAAACCCCCCCCCTCAAAAACAAAAAAGACGATGCCTCAAGTCCAGCAATAATAAGGGGGGCCCAGATCATCATCTAGACCGCAGAGAAAATTTGGCTTGGCTCCCTGGCCCTTAGATTCCTCATACAACCCCTCGCCCATCTAAGGAACCCATACTACCCCCCTAACCCCACTGAATAAGGAACCCCAACAAAATTCGCTTGTAAACAGAGCTTGGTTCCTTCTAGGAACCTCAAAACACCATTCACACAAGGAGCACAAACCGGCCATCTCTCCATGCCTTCACGTAGGATCGGGATTTTCTGAACAAGGCTTCAAACATCACAGATCACAACCAGACCCCCAAAACCCAAAACCCGAAACCCGAAACCCCTAAACCCGAAACCCTAAACTCCCTAAACCCCTAAACCCGAAACCCTAAACTCCCTAAACCCCTAAACCCGAAACCCTAAACCCCTAGACCCGAAACCCGAAGCCCAAGCCGCCTCCTGGGTGCAGCCAGCACTGCAGGAACCCTCCGTCCTGGGAGATTCCGAGCTTCGGATCCGACCCCTTCCAACTTTAGGGTTTAGGGGTTTAGGGGTTTAGGGGGAACGGGTTTAGGGTTTAGTGGTTTAGGGTTTAGGGTTTACTGAAGGCATTGATGTAAGCACCTGAGAGGAGTAGAACTGCGCTTTGGGGCGAACTAGAAGGTCAGAAGTACTTTGGGGCCAGAGGGGATGTTACTTCTATATATTCCTAGCCCGATGTTAGGGGCTTAAATGTGTTTCATGGAATCAGGGGGATAACAGAACTCTAGGGGCTTTAGGGTTTGGTAGCATTGGGCCTAGGGGTTTCGGGTGTTCCGGCTTTGGAGGCTTAGGATTTGAGGCCTAGGGAATACGAGGTTTGAGGCAGGTCCTTGAATAAAAACATGCCTCTCTCCAACCCAATGCCAGCGCAGTGCCCTAAACCCTAAACGTAAGAAGCTACTTCTTCAGAAACTCGGATCCATGGTTTTTCTGCTGAGTTGAAAATAGAAGATACCGGACTACCTGTGACTTCCTCACGCCCCGCAAGCCACAGTCGGGGAACAGCTCAAGGAGATAATGCAAGGGCGCCTGACAATTAGTTTAGGGTTCTTGGGCAGGTTATGGCGCAGCTGACTGCCGAGGGACGACACAGGGACATCACTAGGAAGGATTGTACCACCCAGCTCTACCCCTTTCGGTTACCTGATGAAAACGACGCTAAGAAAAAAACTACACTTGAGGTATGAACCTTTGCAAGACCTGAGACGTGCCCCTCGCGCTGAAAACAAGTTCCTGACTCAGATGCGCTGACCACTGCAGTGGTCATGTCATATTTGAGAGCAAAGTTTGCCGATGTAATGCCTCGATAGGAAGACTGATGCCTGAAGTTGTAAAAGCAATCAGCACATCCAAAGGAACGTAACGAAGTGCCTTCCAGCGGCGTGACATTGCTGCAGTTGTGCTGCAGCCCAACCGCATCTGGCACGTTGTACGTGCAGGGAAGCGGAGTGCACACAGGCAGCGTGCCTGGGCTCGCTGGGAGCATCCGTGAGGGATTTCTCCAGACTGCAGCTACTATTGGTGAATCCGCACTACGCTGCAGAATCAAAAGTGCCTGTGCAGCTCCACCTTCGAAAATGCCGTTGCGAACATCGGGTTATGGTCGCAGCGTCCCTCCTCGAATATGCCATCCAAGTTGCCAGACAAGCTTCCCGAGTTGCAAGTCAAGACAGAGGCAACACCCACGAGTTCATAGCCTGACATTGAAAGCCTCTCTGAGGGATTAGGTCAGAGGCTCCTGCAAGCTTCATGAGAGCCTCAGAGATGCCCTAAGCCCTAAGCCTGCGAGCCCAATTCTCACAAGACAAGAAGGAGTGGCTCAGAGTCCGACCCATGAAGTCTGACGCACCCCAACATGTCTGAACTCTTTCAGCAGCCTCGGCTGCAGTGAGCAATGCAGATGCTGCCATCAGCCACCCCAGAGCCGCTGCTGCCTTGGCTGAAGGCTTTAAAGGCTTAGGAAAAGAGAACTCTGCGAGTCTCTTCGCCTCTGGGGCGGCTCAGACAAAGTAACCCGTGGCTGGTGGAAGTCCGTGCTGCTCTAACTCCCAAGAGTAAGCCTTCTTGCCTCATGAACGCAGGCAGAGAGAGAGACACCCGAGGCTTTCTTTTCAAACCCCAAAAAAAAGAGCCCATGGTCTAAGAAGACTCTCTCGTGTACGCCCAGGTGCAGTCGTGGGTGAACTGGGGGTCCGACAGGCCGAAGGCAGCTGCTGCAGCCGCCTGGCAGCCTTGTGGGCGTAGACAAAAAGTGGGGGACTTCTTGGCGTTTTTTGGGGGGGTGATCCTGTATGTAAGATAAACTACTTTAGGGTCGATGTCTCTCAAACTGCCATAGCATGCCAGCTTGGTTCGGGAAGCCTTCAGACTTAGCTTGACGAGCTCAGCATTTTTTTCAGAAGGCCCTGAACAACTAGGAAGATCGGAAGATCTATTTGGGTAACCCTAAACACCCTAAACTGGCCCTAAACCATAGACCGAAAGGGGATGTCTACATCGGGTGCCCGGGAGCCTCCAGAGCCAGATAGGCGCCGACCACCAGAGCCAACGCAGCTGGCATTGGCGTCCTTTCTCGGAACATCAAACAGAGACACAGGGTTTCGGGCTTAGGGTTTAGGGTTCAGGGCACCAACTTTCTCTCGAGTTGTGGGATGCCTTTTCCATAAAAAAAACCCTGAAGTGGGGTGGGAGCTCCGGTTCCTTGGCCACGAAAGTGAGTGTATCGGCATCGCACATGTAAGGAGCGGGGTTGCCCGTGTAGCCGGTCTCGCAGTAGACCCAGCCTCAAGCTGTAGTCTTGATATGAAAGGGTCCGAAGGGGAAGGATCCCATACAATCAGTACCTGAGTTTGGGAAGAGACATCGTACAAAAGTCCCGAAAGGAACAGGCTCTGGGGCTCGCAATGGCCAAGCAGCACTCGTCTCCCGGCTTCTTGTCCTGGAAGGGCCCGGTTTGGGGGGGTGGGCGCAGACCTGTCCGAGGCTCTGGGTCCCGAGGCTGCACTGCAGCTCGGCCCCCAACCCAAGTTCTCCTCCTGGGCACTCAAAATCGTGTTATTCTATGCTGCCCGTCCTGACAGGTGCTCGCATAGCCGGTGACTTGAGCGCGGTCCGGGCAGGAGGACTCCACGACTTCGGAGATAGTACCGTTGAAGCTGGAATCTGGCAAGCAGGTTAGCCTCAGACGTGGGGTTTTGAACCTTGGGTGTTTAGGCTTTCCAAGCTTGCTTAGGGTTGGCATGTTGGGGCCGAGGGTGAGGGTGAGGGGTGTCCTTCTTGTTGGGCTGGAGGGCCCTTTCGAGCACCACAGGGTCACGCAAGCTGTGGGGTACAGCTGTTGTAGAGCACAGCTTTCGCTCCGACGCCCGCCGGGGACTTTGGCAAGAAGCATGCGGTCATTGCCCTCGAACCTGAAAGCCCTGAAAACCCTAAGTCCCCAAGCCCAAGTTCGACAAACAGCATTGAAGCCCTTTCAGCCCATAAAGCCCTTTTAGGCACTATAAAACCCACGTACCTCTCATCGAAGCCCTGGACTCTCTACTCTCAGGACAGGAGGCACGCTGTCGGTCATGGTGAATCCCGGGAGCGCCGTGACGGTGCAGGTCTCCAGGGTGGCCTTGCCACTGCAATCCTGGACGGGAGGCACCGAGTTTGAAGCATCTCATGTATAGCCCTAAACCCATATCATGTCACATCATATCCTGTGCCAAAAAATGAAATGTAGCAACACCTATTCAGAAACATGGTCATAGAACAACACATAGCATGACACAAAACTGTAAGTATCAGTGAGTGATCCAGTACGTGAGTGAGGCAGAGAGCGTGAGCCGAGTGGAGTGGAGTGGAGCGGAGTGGAGTGGACTGGACTGGAGTGGGCATATTGTATGATATCATGCTAGGTTACTTTGTTTTGTGCATAAAACATAAGACACTGTACACTCTGCACTACACATATGTTTCACGATAGCAACATATAAAGAACCAAAGAAACAAAATAAAACAAGAAAGCGTGACACAGTTTTGCATATGTCATGGGCAGAAACAGCAATGAAAACCCAACGGATTTAAGACCAATTGTGTACTATTCAGAATACACCACCAAAAAAAACAAACTATTTTTCCGTACAATACAATACAATATAGTACAATACAGTAATACACTCACTACAGTACCATACAATACAACCCAATACAATACAATACAAAAATACAATCGAAACCAGTAAGATGACGTATAGCACAGTATCATCGAGTATGATACGATTTTAAAGCAACATAACACAATACATGTTTTATACTGAGACAAGATCTAGTACAATGGCAAATGACGTGATATACTGTAACCTGACACCATGTAGTGAAATGGAATGTACTCTTAGACCAGGAATCAGACCCGAAATCCCAGACCCGCCAGGCGCGAGCGTAAACTACCGAAGCCTTGATGGCTGAGTCCCACGGTCTTGCACGAATGTAATACAGTATGCTTCAGCATGATTTCGTACGAAAGTGCATAGGACAAGATGGTCTCCTGAAACTTCAATCCATTCAAAGATGACCAACATGACACAACAAACATAGCCCAGTTTCTAGTCTAGCCAAGTACAGTACAGCATTGCATAGTGTAGCATTGCATATCCCAACGTAAGGGTAATTCAACGTACCGAAATCAGGCCAAGACTCGCTCGAAGTGCCACGCAGGTTGGGCAGTCCGATGGTGCAGGGTTTTGCAGTGCAGACCTGCAACCCAATGGGTTGGTTTTGGAACGGGCTACCACAGCAGAAAGGTTGAACCGTTCGTGAGAAACCTCAACATGGATACGAAAAACTTGCAAGACCTACTACAACCTAAACCGCAAACTCCACCAACAAAAAAATGCGGACTGCAAGCAGAAACCAGGTCAAGCAAGGGTCTGGTCCACTGGAGTTTTCTGCCGGGATCCTCCCCACATACTCCGCAAATCCGGCGCTGCTGAGCGGGGTGTCGTCACAAAGCATCACGGTCGCATTGCCTCCGATCTCCCAGCCTGCTGAAACGTAGGCTGGGGCTCTTCGACTGCGAGTCGCTGCTTGGAGTTTCTGAGAAAAAAACACGCAAGCCATCGTCCCAGCCTGGCTCGCAGAACGCCGTGCAGATATCTCCGAACTCCTGGGAATTCAAACCGCAAGAAGCACAAGTGCTAAACCTGGCTATGGCAGTACTCTCCTTGTTGGCGCAGGAGTCAGCAAAGTGGGGCTCCGAGAAAGGAGAGATCGATGAGAGTGGGAAGCCTCCAGAGCGCAGTTTAGGCGAAAGGGGATAGGTGCAGGGCTTTTAAGGCTTTCGGTAATCGCTTCGGAACGGCTGTCAGAGCTACTGGGACAAGCTGGGAGCAGGCCCTGCCACCAATACCAGATCCACCACTAGCTCCGAAGCTTTGCAGCCCGGTGAAGCAGCCGCAACACAGACCAACCTCTACCTTCTCCAACTTTTTACCTCGAGCTGGGGACACGGCATTGCTTTGGCCGGCACTCAAAAGCCCCGGTCGTGTTGAAGCTGCCATCGATTCCGCAATTCAGTGTCCTCGGCTCCAGGCATTGGATGTCGAAACTCGCGAAGTTCGGCTCGCACGGCTAAGAAGAACGGACCCAAAAGTCTCGAACCCTGAACCTCAAGAGCTACTGCCCGTGACTGTGATGCTCTTCTTGCACAGTTCCTCGCTTCCTTTCCAAGCACACCAAGTGACCAAGCCGATGCATCAGTCAGGATTCTGCAGGGAGTCCCTACGGCAGAATGACTAAAATCTTTGCTACATGTCGCCGACACCTGCAACGAAGCATTCATGAATTCCTAGCTCAGTCCGTTGACCACCCGAAACCCAAAACCGAAGTCACAAACCCTATGAACCGTACAGGCCCCCCGATAAATACTCTCAGTACAACCATTGTCTCTTTATTTATGTACTGACAAAATACGTACGCCATGAGAACCGGCTACGACAATGGCGTTCGAAGGAGTCGACGCTTCGCTTGGTGCTGCGCCTTTGTGTTGGCATCCAACTCTTATCAACGTGTTGGCTGGCATGGTTTACCCAGGTTGCGGGTGAGATGGGGGAGCGATTCGCGCGCGGCCCGGACATGGACAAGGCTGCCAACGAGGGGCTGGACAAGAGGCTTGCATTGAAGCGGGCACATTGTTGTTCCTGTGTGGGATTTTCCTCTGCTTCCAATCCCTACAGGAATAGGCTCAGGGTAGTATAGCGGCGGCGTGAAGTTTGAGTCTCTGCTGCATGGAGTCTTGCTCGTAGCGAGAGGAATATGCTTGAGCAAGCAGTCCCACCCGCCTTGGAGTCTGATTAAATCTCTTGTTTGGGCTTCTATGCCTTGATTTTGCACCCCCGAGTGCACACTACCAGCTTGTAGATTTCTGCTCCGGGGGTGCAGGGCGCAGGCGCTGAGTTCTCAGTTGTTCTTGCATTCTGTTTTGGCTGGATGGACTCATAGGAACACCAGCAAATCGTTTGCATCTGAATTCAAGACTTTACGTGCTAGGCGTGCGCAAGACCCAATCGCGGAGAATGACATGAAAATCATCATCTATACCCATTCTTAAAGTACATGCATTCTCACCTACCTATTGTTTTTGCATCACATGCAAAATGGTGGGGACATTGCCTGTATGTGTGTATGTATGTGTATATATATATATGCATAGGAGAGGGAGAGAGAGAGAGAGAGAGAGAGAGAGAGAGAGAGAACAAAGACATGACGAATCTATCTATCTTTGAAATCGTGTTAACCACCTGTGTGTATGTATGTATATATATATATGTACACACACACACACATACATACATACATACATACATACATACATACATACATATATATAATATAATTATGTATTTATTCATCTATTTATTTTTCTTGTTTGTTTACTTATTCGTTTATCTATTTATTATTATTGTATTCATTTATTTAGTTTATCTATTTATGCATTTGTTTATTGTATACATATATTATATACATTCTCCAAGCCCAAGGATCCTTGAGCCGCTGCCCTCGAAGCCACGAGTGCAGCCCAACTCGCAGCTGCTGGAGGTGGTGATGCCCACACAGGCCTTGTTCGGGGGTTTTAGGCTTTGAGGGTTTCGATAGGCCTCGATGGGATTCTACACGGATCTTTGAGGCATATGGGGGTGTAAGACGTACTAATTATGGGAACTGGCAACATCGTAACATAGTCTCAACCCTACAACGCTTGTGGAAGTAGCAGAAACAAGCAGGTGTACGCACGGGTGCCGCTAGCTGTGCACGCAGCTCCCACACCGAAACGAACACAAAGGGAAGACGGGATGCGTCACAGTGTGACATGTGTTGGTACGTAGGGGTTTATACAGTTCTATTGGGGTGTAGCCGGCCGACCCCAGTCGTTAAGAGCACCTTTCGACGCAGCAGGCCACGGGACTATGGGCCATCACAAAAGCTTTGCCAAGACGAGACTGGGAAGCCTCTGCGGTGACGCCGACCCCGATGGAGATGCCTTCCAAGGAGCCTCGGCTGCCAGAGGATCTCTTGAAAGCTAGAAAGATAATTGAAACGAAAGGCACGAAGTTTCGGATGAAGTCCGGTGAGCAGGAATCGAATTGTCTTGGGCTCTGACGCTCTGTGTTTAACCTTGCAGCCTTGGGACAGATCAGGCCGGTGCAGTTGGGTAGGTCGCCCAAGAGCATGCCGTCGTCGCACTCGAGCTGCTTTGGGGACCCCGTGTAGCCCGGGGAGCATCTGCCCAGGCCTCGCGGTTTAGGGTTTAGGGGTTTAGGATTTAGGGGTTTAGGGTTTAGGGTTTAGGGTAGCTACGTTGCGGTCCTACTGTATGCCTTGACCGTATCAAGTGCAGCAAGCAAAAGAACAGGGCACAGCAAAGGTGGTCCAAAATGCTGCATCAAATCCACCGGGAAAGGGTTCTGCCAATTGAACTTGTGGTCTCGGTGTTGGCCGCTGCTTCATTGGATATTTTCTAGCTCCTTTTGTTCATCCAGCAAGAAATATGATGTCACTTTTGTCATAAGGTGTCATAACAATCATAATGGCCCCGAGTGGAACCCTAATTTATAGAACTACCCTCATGAAGATGAGAAAGCACCGGCAAGGACCGCAGAATCAACAGCCGCACGAACTCTGAGCTTGGATTTGGTCGCACCCCAATCAACTGATGTTGAACATGGGATCGCCTGAACAGAACAGGGTCGGTGGAGCACGTTGATGTTGAGCTTTGACTACTCTTTTTCCGCAAACTTCTGCTAAACATCTGTTCATTCCCACATCCCTAAACCTTTGACCCACAGCATGCCACAAGCCGCGTCCATTTTCCCTTCCTCATCTGACGACGGCGTCGGAGCCCGAGTAAGAAATCCACATTAAAGCCTAAACCCCACAGCTCACCTCAGCCTGATGCTACGAGTCCTGGACTTCGACAAGTGACAGATATCTCCATGGCGTGCACCCGCACAGTCCGTCTGGAAGGCAGGACTCGCGGTGGGCGGCGGGCAGGCCTTCCGTACACCTTTGGCTCTGGTTTCGGGCTCAGGCTTGGGGTGCAGGTCTTGGTTTCTAGGGTTAAGCTTAGCTGAAAGCTTTGGAATTTACTTCGGGTCTTTTTCCCCGGAGCGCGGGGACGGGTCGGGGTACGAGGTTAGGATTGGTCTGGGCCGTCATCTGGCTAAGGGACAGCGAAAGCCCGAGGATTTAAGCTTAGAAACCCCAAGGACCGATTTCTCAAAGGCAGCTGGGACACAGCTTCCAGCTGTGCCCTGGAAGGCGCCATCCAGCCCGCACTGGAAGCTGGAGCCTGGGCTTCCGGGCGCAAATTTAAGGCGTGGTTTCGGTTTCGGCCTCTTGGGGATTGAATTGATGCTGCGACTTTCGGAAGGCACCCGCCGAGCTTGCTTTCTGATCAAGGAACTGCTCCCATCGTAGCCGCGCTTGCATGTGACCTGGCGCCAGTTCTGCAGCTCGAGCCCCAATCCCTGAAAACCAATTCAGAATTCAGTCTGAAATTGGGCCCAACTTCCGCCCTCAACTAAGGTTCCCCGTCCCTTTGCCACCGGAGCTCTGAGCGCATCAAGAAACCAACTCCCAGCTCCCACGCTCAAATCCTCGAGCCTCACAGGTCTCATTTGACAGTGTGCCGATGCAGCTGCTGATGTTGTAGCTCACATCCTGCACCCCAACATGACTGAGGGCATGTAAGCTATGTAGTCCGGGCTTGTTTTGTCCAGATTGCCTTGAGCATTAAGTACTTCATTGATTGCTGGACACGGGAATTACACAAGCACGGCAGCGTGCACAGGGTGTGTATGAGATAAGGGGCTCACCACCCATTTTTATGCAGGAGGACGGAGGGGGTGCAGGGGAGCTCCGTCCAACGCATCCCCTGCACCCCAGGTAAACGTACCTGCATTGCCTGCGCCTGGGCCCCGTCGTGTGCAGCTGGCGGGGCACTCATCTTCGTTCATCCTTC